TCAAGTCAATGTAAAAGTACATGGAGGCTGGCAGAATAAGCGTTAAACCTTGTCTGATTCAGTCAATGTAAAAGTACATGGAGCTGGCAGAATAAGCGTTAAACCTTGCCTGGTACAGTCAATGTAAATGAAATTGGAGCTGGCAGAATAGGCGTTAAAGATCAAAAGAAAGATTTCCTTCGACAATGTGTGCTTAGCGTAAATACCGGTATCGAGAAAGCTTCAAAAGGGGATATTGATGTTTCTTTTTAAAACTACGATTCAATAGTACAGTTATTTCTAAATACCGGATGTGTCGTGTAACTTTTAGTGGCTTACCACTATAACAAGGGTCTTTTTGTAAATTAAGGGGAAAGTTGCACTTTTTAAGGAATTTTCAGTAGAAGTACTAGCGGGATTTTTAGAACTCCCTCTGTTCTACACGTATTTTTGCGTTTTTTAAAAAATAATTACCCCATGATGTTAACTGTGTTTTAGCACTTTGCGTGGGGTGGATGTGGCTCGGGCAATTAACAATACGGTTCTGTAGTAGCTGCGAATCAAACAAGGCTACTACGCGAACTGAATGATTTATTATCATGATGATGTACACTGATCTATGCTTCCATGGTAACATGAAACACCATTCTTCCGTATATAATTTCTTAGAACACAATGGCAAAGCAAAATAACCTTCTTGTGTCAACACAAATTAAAAAAGATAATTTAGAATATCAAGAAGTTTGCCCTCAGTCCTGATATGTATTTGTTTTCACCTTGTGTCATCAGCCAGCATTTTCCAATATTGGAACCAATGATAATGGCGTTTTAATACTAACATATAATATACTTATTGATTGACACAACACTGATTTTGGAAAGTACAGCAGTAAGGTTACTAAAACTACAAGACAATCAAAAAAAGTGATTAACAGTAAAAGATAAAATGTGCATACAACTTAAAAAATTATATTTACAAATTATAAGATTCAATATCTATTAACATTATAATACATCTATAATTATACTGTTATTTTGTACTTATATAGAAAAAATAAAAAAAATAACTGTTTGATGAGTGAAATCCATATTTCAAAGGATTATGGAGAATAGATAACATAGCCTTAGCAAAGTATTTGAAGAGCACAATTTTTAAAACCACAGAATGTAACTAATTAATTTTTTTTATTTTTTATTTAAATTTTATCTTTTTTGAATTTTGTATATTTTCATTTTGTTTTGTATTTATGTTTTTTAAACCATCTGAAGGTTTTTAGTAGTGTTATAAAGTTATTATAATTGTACTATGGGCTGCTCCGGGGGAGGGGGGCTGCTATTGAAGAGCCGTCAATCTTAAAACTACAACAATAATTTGTTTATACAGGTGACCTAAAACTTTTTAAAGTTTTATTGCAAAATGAATAAATTCTGGGTATTTTCATTTATGTGTAGAATTGAACCATTATATAATTAGACATGCAACTAGTGAAAACGAATACCATCCAACACAATCAAAACTGAACCACGGCGGCGCCTCTGTTTGCGAAATTGGTCACTCAGCTGACGCGCATTGATTCCTTGATTCCAATAATTAATCAAACACTTATTTGCAGATTCATGTGAGATATTTGAAATATAAATATCATTTTATATATCACATCGTTTATACATTGGTCGGGGAAAGGGACGAACAAGGTTGCATTTATTGCCTTATATCAAAGTTGTATGGAACTACTTATTAGGCATGACCCTTAACATGGCGTAGTGGTCGAGTCAAGGGGTGTGATTAGCCCGAAACGACGTGAATGGTGTTAGTATTGTTTTTCCCCCCGTCTTCTTGAAATCCTTTTAATATATAAATGGAAAAACGACGGGTTGACGACTGTTCAGCCTTACCCAAAGGCTGGAAAAGAGAAGAAGTGATCAGGAAGTCTGGTCTATCGGCCGGCAAATCGGATGTTTACTACTTCAGGTTCGTGCCGATTTATTTACAACGCGCCATGTGTAAGAACTTCCTGTCGATTTCATTGTTCTCTGTCAGTCGGCGGGTGGTTCGACCATAAACAATACACACTTTCATCGTCAACTTCAGCAGCCACCAGTGCGTTATCATTTTTCGTTTGATAGCTGTCTATAATGACCGATTAATGCCACTATTGACGTCACCCAGCTCCCGATATATTTGTGCAACTTGATCATTCGTACTCATTCTCTGGGCGACGGAAATCTGTACTACTAGTTAGGGTTAGGGGTTGTCGGAAGTACACAATAATACAAACTCCATGAAATAATATATCTTACTCTGCAAACACCGAAAATCTGACTTTTCTGTCGTACGCCAGTAAGTATTGCTACATTGGCGTGCCCAAGGATTTATAATAAAACTTGCAACTTGTAACACGTATGGTTATATACGATGCGGACCCACTAAACACAGCCCGGGGCCTCCCGCGGCCTCCCGGGGCCTCCCGGGACGTACATTCCGGTCTAAAGATGTACGTCTCACTAAAAGCCAACTCCTGCGATTTGCATACGTTTGAAAGTGATTCGGTTCAATGTACACTTTTCGAACATACTTCTAAGCATGGAGGTATAAACCATGTTCCATGGATAACCTCCATGCTGATGCATGTTCGAAGTAATGTCGTCACAGAGCGCAGTGGTTGCTTGGAAGCGTTTTATTGCATGTATTTTTATTACATGCTCTGTCATAACGTTGCCAAAAATGGTCTGAGATGCAGTTCTTTCACAGATTCAGTGAATACTGTACGTTAGGATGTATAAAATGTAGGTTTAATTCGCAATTTAGGGATCATCTCGCTGTTCATGTAACTTCTTTGATCATTTTTGAGATCGTCATTGCTTATACCTGGGCATACACACTCTAATCTTGTAAATATTTGGTATGACGTAATATAGCGCAAATATAAAATCAACGACTACTGTTATACACTTGTATCACCATAGTTGTGGGTTCATAGCTCTTCTTGCGTTGGTCTTTACTATTTGTAATGGTATTTTAGTCATTTCTGATGGTATTTTAGTCATTTCTGGTACATACCGGTATGGTGTTTATTAAATATTTTCAGAAATTTTGATTTTATTGACACAGAAGAGTTATGGTAATTCCCACAAAAGTGTATTACAAATAAATTTTGATAAGGTTGCACTATTTTCTTGTATCGTGCCATTGAAACTATTGCCAATCGATAAAATGTTTATTCAACACCTGCTAGAGCAAAAACCATGTTTGTAAACAGCAGTTGTATATTAGGTTAGTCTCTTAGGTCTGAACTGTAATCAAATAAGATTTTGAAAGTCAAAACAATTTACACAACAGCATTCTATCTGAACCGAACCACTGCTCTTCTCATCAATTAATAGAAGATTATCTCCAATCTATCTTGGGGCCATATGAGAGCCTAGATTTGCCCAAGAGCTGAATATAACGGCGTCCTCAATTACTTATAAAAACAACATGGCTGAAAGCGATTTTGATGTCGTGCTTGTGTTGTTTCTTTACATGGCAGTTCATAGAAACAGATGCTTCCTCACAAAGCCATAGGAGTGTGCTTCCATTGAATTAATGCAAAACTATGGTGATAATCACTCGTGTCTGTGGACACGAGAAGGTCATTGTATTATATTAAAATTATATTCCAGTATACATTGGATTGCTGGATTGGATTTTAATTTAAGCATGGTGATCTAAAATTCTGTTATTTCTTTTCAGCCCAAATGGAAAGAAATTTCGAAGTAAACCTCAACTGGCCAGATTTCTTGGAGATTCATTTGATCTTAGTACATTTGACTTTAGGACAGGTAAAATTTCTGCTGCAAGTATCAGGAAAAGTAAACGACTTCGGAATGTTCACTATGACTACAGTAAAGGAACTCGGCATGATGCAACCCTTATTTTACCAATACGACAGACGGCTTCCATCTTTAAACAACCAGTATCCAGTATCACTAACCATCCTATCAGTAAAGTACGAGCTGAAGGAAAGCAGGATCTCACAGACCAACCCAAACAGGTAATAACCAGTATTTATCATACAACTGCTCTATGTAATGTTGAATAATGCCTACACATTAACATTTAGTGTTAATCTTGGTTCCATCCCCGATTCCCCATAAAAGCAAGAAATCTTCTTTTTTATGGCAATCATGATGTACTGTCAAATACTTGATTTTATTTGGAGTTAATTTTTACTGAAAACAGTTTTTGGGTGTTTTGTGAGGAGTATATTTTTCCCGCTTTTTAGAGTTCAATGTAAAAGATAGTTAAATCATGAAAATAAAGTTGTTTACAGTAGGTGAAAATATCTGTCAAGCTGCACAACATTGTTTTGTATGAGACGGTTCATGGAAATACCAGGATGTGTGACTTATAGGGGTCATGAATAAATTACCAGGATGTGTGACCTTTAGGGGTCATGAATAAATTACCAGGATGTGTGACTTGTAGGGGTCTTGTATAAAGTACCAGGATGTGTGACCTTTAAGGTTCATGGAAGTACCAGGATGTGTGACTTATAGGGGTCATGAATAAATTACCAGGATGTGTGACCTTTAGGGGTCATGAATAAATTACCAGGATGTGTGACTTGTAGGGGTCTTGTATAAAGTACCAGGATGTGTGACCTTTAAGGGTCATGCATAAAGTACCAGGATGTGTGACTTCTAGGGGTCATGAATAAATTACCAGATGTCTGACCTTTAGGAGTCGTGTATTAGTCATTTTTGGTTCATGCAAGTACCAGGATGTGTGACTTATGTAGGGGTTATGTACGAGGCATACTCATCAGTGTTCTCCACAAGGGGTTTTAGGTGGGCCTATTATGTGTTAAGGCAACCTAGTCACTGTCAACACCCAAAATGCACAACTGAAATAATATATAAAAACACAGCCCCTCTTTCCCTGGTCTGTAAACACTGGCAGTCTATTGTTCCTGGGACTGGTTGTGGGTAAATAAATCGTTCACACCTTGTGGACAATTAGCCACACCACTGAGTAAGTTCAGTACTGTGGAATACTTTATTTTCGCTGGAATTAATTTTCAAAATAAATTCCAAGCGAAAATAAAGTATTCTACAGTATATCAAAAACAAAATAGCGTCTGTAAATAAATTCTCATCAGGGCAAGAAATTTCTCAATTTCTGGCAGTGCTAAAGAACTGCAGGCTGTTATTCTTAGAGACATGATGTCACCAGCATTGTAAACTACATTCCAATTATATGCTTGGAAACAAAAATAATGCAGTGTTCCCCCCAGCATTCAATTTGTGTGCCACGCTGCTTTCCCTGCCCCCCACTGTGGTCTCGAGCCGCCACGGTGATTAGTAAGACCGCCACAGTGCTTTTTTCATTGTTCATCCTGTGAACTGTATTACGAAATATAGAAAGAAATACGTACTGTGGAATACTTTATTTTCGCTGGAATTAATTTTCGCTGAAAAGGCTTTTTGGGCGTTTTGCTTGGAATTTATTTTCACTGATTTTTCATGAGTTTAATGTGGAATATAGGAAAAAAAGTATATTCGCTGGATTTTATTTTCACGGAATCATCCCTTCAGCGAAAATAGCGAAAATAAAGTATTCTACAGTATTACGAAATATAGGAAGAAATCTTGCCACACTTCCGACCAGGACTATTGTCCGAAGTACCGACCGACACGCATCCTGCCAGTCGTGGATTATAATTTGTAAACAATAGACGTAGTCGCACGATGTGGTAGTATAAACAATACAAGTTATTAATTTTGTAAAATTAGCACCTCTTTGTTCGCAAGTTCAGTCGTTAGATTGAAAGCTAACATTTGTTCAAAATCAATTCCATCCCGATATAACATGGGCAAAGCGGAGTTCACGATCAGTTTACGCTACTCAAGAAAAAAACGTGTTTATTGCTTGATTGGGTAAAATACATTTAAACTTTTATCATCGCGAATCATGTAAAAACTCTTCTTTCAAGACTTCTTTTACCTTTTAAAAATTGCTTATCACATATTTCATAAAATTTTAGCTTTCAATCTAAAGACTGCGTCTATCGTCAGAAAATATTTACTTACTTACAAACAAAGAGGTGCTAATTTTACAAAATTGACTTGTATTGTTTAAAGCCACTACCACATCGCACGACTATGTCTTTTGTTTACAAGTTATTATTCACGACTGGCAGGATGCTTGTCGGTCGACACATAAGTATAATAACAATATGACAATAGTCGGAAGCGTTTCCGTTGTGGTTGCTAATTTTGAGTGCCAGTCGGGCCGACCAGCGTGACGAGATCCCCAATGAAAAAAGCACTGTGGCAGTCTTGCTAATCACCGTGGCGGTGTCAGACCGGTGTGGCGGCAAATCGAAGCACTGTGGCGGCACCGCCACGCTATTTACATCCTGGGGAGAACACTGTACGAATAATGAACAATTTTTTGAAGGAGAATGTTTTTGTAGTAAATAAGATCATGGAAGTCGAGAACATATTCCTGGCTGAAACGTTTCAAATGCGTTTCATTTAGCCTTTTACAATTTATTTGTTTGTTTTTAATAGTCTGCAGCATTTCCATTTCGATTTGACAATGTTTCATTTTTAAATTCAAACTCTTCTAAATTTTGAAATGTAATATTTTGACTCCAATTGAAAAAATATTTGCACTGTGACTGAGCTCATTAATATCCCAAAAGAATAGTGTTTATAACACTGTATGAAGCAAATAAATATGTGCCACATTGTTTTTGAAAATATATGTTGTTTGTTATGTGGGTGTAAATGTGCTTTGGTCGATCTCTATTATTATGTAAATGATATGAAAATCATATGCAAATTAGTCCGCCACAGTGGTTTAAATTCCTGGGGAGAACACTGTAATGACACGGAAATTTGAATGGAAATAATTCAGTGAGAGGCCATCTTTATTTTTAACGCAAAAAGTGATGCCTAAATATGATACGTATACTGCATATAATATAATAAAACAAGCACAATAAACTAAACCACCATCTACAACTACTGTCGAAATTATAAAATTTCGACCCCTCTAAAAATTCGGCCTCCTGGTTATTTGCCGGGTTTCAGTATTTTATTGACCTCCAAATTTCCGACTTCACTAAATAAAAATTCTTATTCGGAAATTGCGACCAGTTTTGGTTTTCCCACGGACGAGAAAAAAAAAATCTGTGAGCGTCCAAACGAGTTTCTGATTGACTGAGAGATTTTTATTTTATTGGTACAAAAGTATATTCTAAACGAAGTTTCAAATAAAAATGACCACAACTGCATTGCGTAGCAGGAAATGATCACGGTTGCACAATTCTGCCATGCTGCATTTCACAATTGTTGATTATTATTAAGGTAGCGAGAAGGTTTTGTGACGTTTTTAAATAAAACATTCTCTATCTGTTGTCTCGTTCAGAGCAGTAATTTAGGTTATATATATCAAAAGACTAAGTATAGAGGTGCAAGTTCGCACAAACTGGACAGACATTGTTTACATAATTATCACGTGACATCAAAAATGGCGAACCTTGTAAAAATGACTAAGTACGCGATTGCGAGAGCACACTGCAGAATTTCCTGGTGAAATTTAAGTTATGCATTGTCCGTAATCAAGTCCATTGAAATGCGTCTCCGATAATCAAAAGACCTATTATTCCGATTTCTATGCAGGTTTGTTTTTTTGTCCCCAAATTATTTCATACTTGGCACCTTTAACAGACTATTATTCTGTGACAAAGCATTTTCTTTAAAACCCAGACATATTTCGCACCATCATTATCTTTTGAACGATAACTGCGAGTTTGAATGTCCTAGTCCGAACGCACTTGATTTGGCTTGTAGATTTGCTGCATTATTATAAATATACACTAAAAATGGCCAAACATATTAACCACTGATATCATAGAACTCATAAAGAGTGTCAGATAATGAATAATTTCAAGCTCGAGCGTGAAAAATGAAGAAAACTGCTGGCATTTGAGTCCGTACTCCAGGAATGTTCGGGTTTTCCATTGTTATGCAAACGAACAACGAGGGATAATCCTCTGACAAACATTAC